GACTCTTCACCAAATCTCATTTGTTTTTAGTCCCCCCTTCACCTTCTTCTTCAGAGGTTTTGTGAGCCTTCTGGGTTGTTTGTTTGTTTGTTTTTATTATAGTATAGTCAGTTACAATGTGTCAGTTTCTGGTGTACAGCACAATGTCCCAGTCATGCATATACATACATATATTCATTTTCATATTATTTTGCATTAAAGGTTATTCATGCTGTTGAATATAGTTCCCTGTGCTATACAGGACAAATTTGTTTTTTTAATCTATTTTTATATATAGTGGTTAAGATTTGCAAATCTCAAACTCCCAAATTTATCCCTTCCCACCCCCTTACCCCCATAAGATTGTTTACTATGTCTGCGAGTCCCTTTCTATTTTGTAGATGAGTTGAGCCTTCTGTTTTGATCCACACCTCTTCCTCCTGCTGGCTTGTTTATTAGCTGTTTCCAGTCTAAGTCATCTACTCTTCCCAGCTGCCAAATTTTGTTGTTCTCATTTCTACCTTCTCTGACATGACCGCCTCACCCAGCTCATTATTATCTGTCACAACACTCTCTGTGGCTTCTCCGAAACAGTCATCTTAATCAGTAATCATTGCATTAATTTATTTGCTTATTTCTGATTACCCGTCTCTGCCACTAGACTCATAGCTTCCGAGGGAAGACCTTGTGTGCTCATCCTTATTTATTCCTCATGCGTACCACACACCATGCTCGTGGGAGAGATTACAGCCCAGGAGCTAAGAATATAGGCTCTTGGGAGTTCTAGGTTCAAATCCCAGCTTCACTACTTATAGTAAATGTATAGCCTTGGAGAAACAGTCTACCTATGGGTCATTTTTTTTTCATCAGCAAAAGTGGGATAATCATCATCTTCTCTGCTAAAGTTTTGGGGATAATTTAATGAGAGAAGCCAGGTAGTGAGACAATGCTGAGTGCATGCCTGGCACTTGGTAGGCAACCAGTAAATGCTAAGGTAGGCACAGGATTTTAAAAAATTAATGATTAAGTGCCCTAACATTTTTTAGTTTGAAAATATGGTCACTATATATATATTTCACACACAGTTTGGGGCATGTGCTTCTGTCCCCTTTTGTCCAGTTAATAAGGTCAGGGTCTTCTGTTGTTTTCTCCCCAACAGGATCTCCATCACAAGGGTCACTGCTGACATCTCGCTGGCCAAGCGCTCAGTGTTGAACAATCCCAGTAAGCATGCAATAATAGAGCGATCCAACACAAGGTCAAGTTTAGGTAAGTGTGACCAGAAACTGGCACATTGAAACTGACGGTACTTCAATTTAAAAAAAAAAGTTTACATAAGTGTGCGCCCCGCCGAGGAGCCAAAGCGCTTTAAAGCCTTCTCTCCGGAGGCTGCCAGTAAGGAGATCTAACTCGATAATTTCATGTGTCACAGAGCAGAGAGGAGACAGACACATGCTGCCAGTTGCTGCTGCTATAGTCTTAGCGATTTCACGGTATGGAAGGGTTTGTTTTGAAAGCTTGAGTTAAAAATTCCACAGGCTGTCAGCATGAATGTTGTGGTTGTGGTTTGTTTTCACGGATGTAACCTTTGGTGTCTACAGACTCTCAAAACGCCTGGCTTTGCCTCAGTGTTGGCACAAACAAGGTCATTAACCTCTGTAAGGCCCAGTTTCCTCGTCGAAACAAAAAGAGATAATACTACCTACCTTGTAGAATTATTGTAAGGATTAAACATAGCGTGTCCTCTGTAAACAACGGCTGTTATCCCAGCTCCCCCTTAATGCTTGAATTATATCAATAATTATATTCAGGATATTTGTGTGTGAGTGTGTATGAGCTTGATAAAGGATGAAGTCAGTTCCTGATCATGTTCTACTGATTGAGAGCAGTATTTTTGTTTCATCAATAAGAAACAGTTTGGAGATTTTAGTTAACGTGTCTACAGGGTTGTGTTTGAATATTGTTGATTAACTTGTGCTAGTTGATCAAATGAAACATCTGTGGCAACTGTGTCGTCTCTCCGGCACCTGCTCGGAGTCTTGGGTTAATCGCTGTTACACATGTAACTTATTGGGTTGTTAGGCTTCTGTTTTTAGAAACGAAATTCTCTCCAGGTTCTATGAGATCTTTGGTTTTAGTTAATTTTTTCTATTTATATGTAAATGTATAAACCCTTTGAGAGGCTGGCTTTTAACACAGAAGTTTTGAGTGTAGTCTGAAGTATATTCTGTAACCAAAAGAGAAACTGTTAAGAATAAGGAACTTTCTGTTAGTACTCATTACACTATTGATAATACTTTAGTACTTTGTAAAGTATACACTTATTGCTGTGGTACTATTGCTGTAATACTGCATAGAACTCAGTTCTGTTCTTCACCAACCTGCCCCTCATTGACTAAAACTGTAGTAATCAGAGCTTTAGAAATACACTGAGGAGAAAATGTGATCATACATTTTGTTGATAGTGATTTCATACCCTTATCATCTGTGACCCTTAAAACTACACATTTTCAGTGCTCACAGGAGTTGTTACAAAATGCTCATTTCTTTGATTCAGCTGATGAACAAGATCAGGTGATTTACTTAGACCCGCCAGCTGAATCTGGCGTAACAGATTTGTTTGGCTTGCCAAGGCTTCCAGAACTTTCTAACTATATAGTATAGTTAAATGGGCCTGTCTGCAGCATATTGTTTATTGGGCATCCACCAGACACTGAATGTCATGCTAAAGTCTGGGAACAAAAAGGTGAGTGAGATGAAGCCCCTGCCCCACTGGTGCAGCAATAAGGCAAATACATTAACAGTTCCCCGGAGTGGAGGGGGTGAGGAGGGTGGTCGTGCACTGAACTGGTTACCAAAGAGCTTACGCTGCAGCAGGTGGAGCCACCGGAAAAGGCCTCCCCCAGCTGCTCAGCCTGAGCTTGGACTTGAAGCCTGATAGGCTTTAGCCAAGAAAAAATGGGGAAAGAGTGAAGAGGGTGATAGAGATTTAAAACAGGAGCAACACGAGGCTTCTGGAAAACATAAGTGCTTTATTTTGGCCGAGTGTATGGTCTTTAAAAGAGGGATGTGGAAGAGGTTTCACCCAAGAAAAAGCAAAAGCATAATTGGACATGAAGATGTGAACAGAAATGTTCATCAAAACCCGGGAACCACCCCGATGTCCATCAGCAGGTGGACGGTTAAACAAATCATGGTATATCTAGACAATGGAAAACTGCTGCACCCTTGATAGACATATTGATGAATCTCATAATAATCATGTGTGAAAGAAGCCAAAGTAACAAGAGTACAGACTGTACGATTCCATTTAAATAAAAGTCTAAGGAATGCAAACAAATCAATAGCCTCAGAAAGCAGATCCTCCAGGATTGCCTGGGCTTGGGGAGGTGCGCCAGGAAAGGGTAGGAAGGCGGGACTGTAAAGGAACGCAAGGAAATTTGGGGAGTGATGTATATTTCACGGCTTTAATTTGGGTTGATGGTTTTGTGGGTGTATGCAGGTGTCAAAATTTACAAAACTGTGCTCACTTCAGCAGCACCTACACCAAAATTGGGATGATACAGAGGAGGTTAGAATGGCCCTTGCACAAGGATGACACACAAATTTGTGAAGCCTTCCATATATTATTTTTAAAATTTTTTTTACCAAATTGTACATTTTAAATATGTGCAGTTTAATGTTTAATAAAGCTGTTTTTAAAAATACAATTACCATAGGACCCAGAGAAATGAAACATTAGGTTCACACAAATACTTACACACAAATGATCATGGAAGCTTATTCCTAATAGCTAAAGGCTGGAAACAATCCAGATGTCTTTCTGTGGGTGAATGAATATATGTGGTACATCCATTCAATAAAATACTACTACTCAGCCGTGAAATGGAACAACCACTGAATCAAGCAACGGCTTGGATGAATCTCAGAGGTCTTATGCTGAGTTAAAGATGTCGGTCTGGAAGGGTTAAATACCATATAATTCTGTTTATATGACGTTCTTGAGGAGCCAAAACTCTAGTGACAAACACCCGTGGTGACATGGGGAGGTGTGAGCACAAAGGGACAGCCCGCCGTTGCTTTGGGAGCAGTGGGACTGTTGCGTGCAGACTGTGGTGGCAGCTACGTTAGTGTGTACTCGTTTCCTGTGGTCAGTGTCTCCACTTTACTCACCTTTATTCACTCTCCAGCTGACTCCCAACCGGTTTCTACTTTATTACTTAAAAAAAAAATCTATTACTGAAGAAGTTATTGGTAACCTGCCTGTCATTAGTCCAGGGGACACATTTCGGTCTCTTACTCAACACTGCGGTGATGTTGGGGGGACATTTGTCCTCTCTCTCCTCCAAGCACCCCCTTCCCTTGTGTCCCTCAGCACCACTGATTCTGGGCTTCAGCCTCTCCTCTTTGCAGGCATGTCCTGTGTGGCTTTGGAATATTAGGAATTCTCCATTGTTCATCTAGGATCTCCACTCTGTTCCCCTCTCTCTTGTATTCACACCCATTGCTTTAATTATCTCCTAGATTCAGATAGCTCACGATCATATCCCAGGCTAACTAGCTCCTTTAAACTCCAGAATTATACCTCCTACTTGACGGTATTGCCTTATATTCCTCAAGCTTAGCACATGCTAAAGAGAATCTCTAATCTTTCCCATATTCTTCTAATTCCCCAGGGTTTCTTCCCTGAATAATGCAAGTCAGGTTGCTCATCCCCATTTTGAGAACCAGGAAACCCTGGGGCCATCGTGACACTTGAGCTCTCCTTGTCACTTCTTCTCCCCCGCATACCTCCAGGTCTGTTGGTTCTGCCTCCTAATTATCTGTTAGATCTGTCTAATCGCATGCAGGGTGGAAACCACCGCTCCAGTCCAGGTCCCCTGAGCTTAGTTCTTCACACCAAAGCCAGTGAAATCTTTCCAAAGAACAGATCTCTTCCTGACACATCCCTGCTTAGAACCTCCAATGTCTGCATTATTCTTAGACATGAACAAAAGCCCTTGACCTGGCCCTGGACACCACAGGTCCAGCCCTCCTCGCCTCACCTCACCCTGGGTCCTGCCCTGTCCCTCCGCTTCAGCCATGCCGTCTCTAGGAGCTGACCAGGGCTGCCATAACCAATGCTGCAGGCCAGGAGGCTGACGCAAAGTTACTGCTCACTCTTCTGGAGGCTGGAAGTTCCTGGGGAAAGGAAAAGGTGCTTACAGCGGGCCCTAGATTCCCTTTTTTTTAAAGTAAGGAACTTGTCAAAACTAGAACTCTGTGCTTAGTGATTACGAAAATGGCATTGGAATTACCACTAAATCACTGATACCAGAGCCATCTCAAGGTCTTATTAATTTCTTTCTTTTTTAATTGAAGTATAGTTGACTTACAGTGTTGTGTTGTGTTAGTTTCAGGTGTACAGCATAGTGATTCCGTTACATACATATGTGTGTGTGTATATTTCAGATTCTTTTCAATATAGGTTATTACAAGATACTGAATATAGTTTGCTGTGCTATACAGTAGGTCCTTGCTGTTAATGTTTTACATACAGTAGTGTATCTATGTTAATCCCAAATTCCTAACTTATCCCTCCTCCCTCCTATCCTTTGGTAACTGGAGTTTTTCTGTTTGTGAGTCTATTTCTGGTTTGCAAATAAGTTCATTTATATCTCTTTTTTTTTAGATTCCACATATAAGTGATATATATTTGTCTTTCTCTGACTTATTTCACTTAGTATAATAATCTCTAGGTCTATCCATATTGTTGCAAATGGCAGTATTTCATTATTTTTTATAGCTGAGTAGTATTCCACTGTATGTATGTGTACATACAGCGTACACAACAGTCTCTTTATTCATTCATCTATCAGCAGACATTAAGGCTGTTTCCATGTCTTGGCTATTGTAAACAGTGCTGCTATGAACATTGGGGTGTATGTATCTTTTTGGAGTTTCGGTCCTTTCTGAATATATGCCTGGGAGTGGGACTGCTGAGTCGTATGGTAAGTCTGTTTTTAGTTTTTTAAGGAACCTCCATACTGTTCTCCATAGTGGATACACCAGTTTACATTCCCACCAACAGTGTAGGAAGGCTCCATTTTCTCCACACCCTCTCCAGCATTTATTATTTGTAGGCTTTTTAATGATAGCCATTCTGATGGTGTGAGGTGATACCTCAGTGTGGTTTTGATTTGCTTTTCTCTAATAATGAGCGATGTTGAGCATCTTTACATGTGCCTATTGGCCATCTGTACTGTCTTCTTTGGAGAAAGGTCTTACTAATTCTTAACTAACCACTTGGATGTCCCCCAACACCAGCTGCTATCAAACTAACAACCCCCTCTGTTTTTACAGTATTGGTCAATTATAGAAACTGGTCTCCAAACAAGCAAAACGTCTTCTTTTTGTTTTATAGAAAACATTATGATTGTCCCTGAGCACTGCTGTTAGATATCAGAGATGTAAAGTATAGGCAGAAATGCTCTTCATTTTCTCAGCACCAGTTTTAATTCAGCACGTGTTAGAGATTGGGACATGGAATGATGAATAAGGCTTTCAGATTCAGAAATGAACATCAGCAGTCTTGAACATTTCTTTTTTGACGTAAATTCTAAGTATGATGTACTGTGTTAAAGGAAAACCGCTAGTATAGATACATTTCTTTTTGAAGCATCATTTTTACTTGGAAGTTAAAAGTAGTTTCTTCAGGATTTATTGGTCATCTTTCTTTAAGGTTTATTTACTAATATGTTGCATTGGGATTCTGAAAATCCCCTTTAAATTTTTTAAAAATATATCATTTCTCCCCTTAATGTAAAAAGTGTAAGATATTTGTGTATGTAAGAATATTAAAAAGATATGTGTGTGTAT